AATAGCGCCCAACATTTGTGGCGAAAGAGAAATTTTAGTTGAGGGATGCCTTGTCACCTGGATATCTCAATGATATGACTGTGTATAATAACTACCTCCACATCCTTCATGCTCAGCAACGTTGGACCTGTACAGAACTCCCCAAGGCCGCGTTCATACTTCGCTCGACTGCGACTGCCTGCGCTTCACCGCCAACAGCTGCGCCGCCCTAGTGAGTTTTTTCCTGACTGCGAATAAATTAGCAAATGTTCGATGAGAATTTGAACTGCAGCGATCCCACGATTGGCAGAGCGCGGACCGTGGCCAGTCACAGTCGCGCGATTCCTGAATCGCGAAGTATGAACACAGCTAGACTAACTAGTCTAAACGCAGCCCGAAAAAAAGCTCTACTGCCTTCTCCTATAATTATCCCATATATCAAAAAACCCCATTTTGAGATCTATTTTGTCTGACAGCTCATCTTCAACCTGCAAAAATGATGTCTTCATGAAATAGCCTCCCAGATTATAACATTTGTGCTAGATGAAACCAAAAAAGAAAGGATAACCTTTATAAGACCTTTCCTTATTAAACAATAAAACGAGTGAGGTGTACATGTACATACATTTCGATGAAAAAGCCAGCTACTGTTCTCAAACACTACCACGTTGTCCGCAGAAATGCACGACGACTCAAAATGAATCTGGTATAAAACAACGAACAGAACTACCAGCCAGAGTCAAGTCATAAATTATTACCTGGATAAAAGAATCACAAATGTTCTGTATGAAAGAAACACAATGATATATGGGACATATTGTACATACAACCACATTACGGCTAGAACATTTATGAACAACCGCTGTTGTGTCATTTAGGTTACTTTGACCGCATTTAGTGCTTTCATTGAATCCGGTGATGATGAGACCGGTGAGATTGGTTCGACTTCTTCCTCTTCTTCTGCCAGCGGCACAGGATCCGATACCAGTTGCCAATTACGCCATCCAACCAGTTCTAAACAAAAAGCATTTTGAGCACCACAGGATCCGTCTTGGTAGTTCAGGTCGGTAGCGAGCGGAAGTTAGTATTCCTAGCTAACTGACTTGACAAAGCACTTTGACGTCAGATCAATTAGGAGATGGCAGCCTCGGCCTCACACCCTTTGTTTCACGGCTTCATCTCAAATTCACGGACAACCAATGAATTGGTTTTTTATGTCAAGTTTTAAGACGATGAATGACTAAGTGCAGGCAGAGCTGCTAAATTTTCGAGATAAGGCCCTGAAGTAAGAGGCATGCGAAATGTGCAGCTGCAACCTGAGTTGACGTCGAAATTGTATGTCGAGTCAACTAACTAGGAACATGGTTTGCGCCCAACGCCGTGACTCCGAAGTCCTGAACCATACCCGTTCTTCCCTATCGGAGCCAGTAGAGCGCGTTCGTACTTCTCAATGCAATCGCTGGATCGAATAAAGCGAGCGATTGGATCGCGCGACCCAAAGGCGCGCCAACCAGCAATCGGTGAACCGTCGCAACGACAGAATCCAAACTGGGCCGAACAATGCATGTTTTAATCTTGCCGTTGCATCGGTCCACTGATTGGCAGTGGAGCACCTATGGCTGAGGTCGCGCAATTTTATCGCAAGGCATGAAGGCACTCTTGCTTCAGCTCCCACGCACATAGTCCATATCGCGGAGATGGGAATTGTGTGGATGCTCCGTTTGAGCGTAGCAGCAGCGGTAGATACTGCCGTTTTGAGACCACAGCAATCATGTATTGGTCCGGCACATGGCAGGATCACAGTTGTCCCAAATGAAACCCCTAGCGGAAAACGAGTCCTACATCATGCCCGAAGTACAAAACCACGCCTTTCCCATTCCCATGGTATGGGGTGTGCTTATCAGTATCAGACTGTAATACGTGATCAAACACGGCTGCCTTTCTTTCAGGCACTGATAAACGTGCACTACATATAGAACAATCAATTTCGCATCCAAATAGTCAATCAATCAAAGAACCTACCACTGTCCATCAGTTCGATGGAGTTTAAAAACTGATTTCCATTGAATCCACCAATGGCATAGATTACATTACCAGCTGTAACTACCGCATGCGTATTTGCCCTGAAATTTTCAAAATCAATTGCACTGCTGTTGCAGTTATCGTAATTTTATAGCCCATTCGGAATTATGATCCACCCCCTTACAGCTTTCAATTATATACTTCCC